GATTTGAAAAAAACAAATTTAAATACGTAAAGTCGACAATCACACAAAAGTTGATGACCCACTTTGGCGAACAATCATCAATGCGCGTTTCTGGTGTTGTACTGCGATTGCGGCCTGTTGGACGACGTCGGCAGTGGTTTCTTCCGTCTCAACGCCTCAGCGTACGACCTATCCAACAGCTTGAGTTTGGCCACTTCCTGGGAAGCGGCGCTGGCAAACGGTTGGGCGACGACGGCGGGCGACGCTTTCGCACTGTCCGGCGCGGCGCACCACGTAGACCTGTGCGACGACGGCGGCCTTTCGCCGCTGCCGCTCCTGGGCTGCCGGCGCGTCACCTGGTCGGTCCACTTGAAATCCAGCAGGTGACTGATGTCCTTGGACTGATGATTGGCCGCGGACGACTTGCGGTGCCGGGCGGGTTTCTTGTGCTTGGCCGCGGACGCCAGCTCCTCGATGATGTCCCGGGGACGACGGTGGGCTTCCGGGCGCGGCTCTTGCTGCTGTTGTTCCGATCGTTGTTGTTGGTGTTCGGCCGTCTGTTGTTGGTCTGCTAGTGTCTGTGGTGGCGGCGTGGATGGACGCCGTTCGTCCGTCGCCGACTGCTCTACAGACGACATCAACGGGTTGTGCTCGCAGGCGGGCGTGGCCGGTGGCACTCGTGGCGTACCGCACGCTGACGTGGTCGAACGGCCGGCGAACGGAGAGTCGTTCGCGCCGTCGCCGTCTTCGCCCTCGTAGCCGTCATCGTCCTGGAGCAGTGGCAGCCTCTCGCCCTCGTCCTTGGCCTCGGCCGCCCGCTTGAGCACGGCGAATATCTCCCGGAACAGCTGGCGGTACTCGGGCGTCTTCCGGAACCGGCTCTCCACGGGGCTGGCATCGTCGTAGATGCTGAACCGGCAGTCGTCACCGTCCGATATCGTGCACAGAAACGAACCGGTGAAGAACGTCTCGGTCTGCGTGCACTTGTTGCTCGTCTCGTCCGAAAAGCCAGACGACGACGTCGTTTCTGTCTCGGAATACTTGCACATGGCGCCACCGCTCTGTGCGGCCCGTCCTTTCGTCTGCAGGCCTTCGTCGTCGCTGCTGTCGTCGCTGTCCGACGCGTTGCCGTTAAACGACGAGAACTGCCCAGACATCTGCAGCTCCTCGTGCAGCGATATGCCCTGGTTCTGGCCGTCTTTGTTGGCGCTGTTGTTGTTGTTGTTGTTGTTGTTGTTGACCGACGGTACCATTGGCGAGAACGCGTTGTGCTTTTGTTGGATCTTCAACAGCGCCTCGTATTTGTCTACCAATATCCGGTACGGGTTGTCCTCCGAATAGTTCTCCCCCAACGTCTCCTTCGCAATATAGAAACAAAAATGAATAGTGAAAATAGGTACATAATCGGTGGTGCTGAGTTATAGTATAGCTTACTAGCTTATATTCACTTAAGGTGTTAAASAAATCACCTATATAGGGTTTTTTGGGTTATAAGTATGAGCGGCGAGCGCATATATGATAGGTTGGACATAGGTGCCATTTTATTAAAAAAAAAAGCTTAAGTTGCTTAAGATATATATTTTCCCATTGTAGTTTTTTTTTCGTAAGAAGTTTTTGATACATAAACACGAACATTATTTGAGGGTGCTAATACCTAAAAAATTCCACTTATTTGTGCCTWTGGGGTGGGTTGGGTATACATAAAATAGAATACTAGAATACCTCAGTACCTACCGAAAGTAAATATCACAATTATTACTGTTAAACGTATGAGACGAATTGACTGCACTTTTGACTTTTTACTATAAAAAATTAATTGTATTATACTTCTAACTATATAATACAATTAATTTTCCGGTAAAAATCTTAAACAAGTCATTATGTTTGTTCGGTCTATTATAGTTGAAACTTTCCATCTTTTTAAAATTTATTTCGACGTCTTCATTAATACATTACGTCAATCGATTTTCCGACGAAAAGTCTTAATCGATTGACTATGGGTGAATGGGTGATTTGGGTATGACTGTATGAGTATGACCGATTTTAGTTTTCACTTGGCATGTAAGCGCGAGCTTACATCTATAGGTACCTATTGTGTTATAAAAACTGCGTCTATGATAATTAGCTTAAATCTATACGCGTCGWGACTCGTGACCCGCTTTAAAATGTCAAAGAGTCTGGATCTCCGGACCTCGAAATAACACAATTATCGTCGTTATAAGCGTTTTAGTTCAGGCGAAATGCCAAATATCCTGTTTAGGTTTTTCGAATCGCTCACGTTTGGAAATTGAAATGACTCATGTAATCGTTGATACGACTTTTAAAAACGTCTAAGGCTCAATTTTTATTTTAAATTCTACTCTGCGATTATTTGTATTATATCAACAAAATAACAAATGCAGTTTAGATTAAAAGAATCGCATTCAAAACTCAAACGCGACCACATTAGCTGATCATATTAAATATCTTAAAGTAAAACGTAGAAACATTTAAAGTTGAGATGTAGGTACTATAGGTAGTTATTGTCAAGGTACTCGTAATTTAAAACGTTTGAGTTCCACATGATGAACATGATGTCTTATAACAATGCACCCGTATCGTCGTATCACGTTTAATTCTTTGCAGTTAAAGAATAAAAACATACTTGTAATTGTTGCAAGACTTCGTGTTTGTGAGTTTCAACATATGATCCTATAGCGCTAATATCATCAGTGTCATCATCGTCGTCGTACACTGAATACTCGTCGAATAGGTTTGGATCGGTACTGCGCTGACAACGCCGGCATAGATTTCCTTGTCTAAAAAAAAGGGACTTTATGAGAATTTGGGAATCTAACTAATTGTTATTTCTATATTATACCAATTACTAGAATGTGGGTAGGTAAACATAAAAATATAAAATAATAAATACATCACATATGACATTGTGATACTAATGATTATTGAATAATGACATTCTTATCACATTTAAAATACTATGACTAAGCTATGCCTACTCTATCACTCTATCATTATAAAAAAAAAAAAACTTTGAATGTATTAAATCTATAATGTACATTTTAGTACGGCAGTTCGTTCAAAACRGTTGACAAAAGTTGAAACAATTAAAAAAAATAAAACATAATATTTTTGGTTTGTTCCAAACGCAGTGTTATAAGTTGATAAACTATTAATGGTTATTAATTTTGTGAATTTTTTTTTATAATTTTAAAATTTTAAAATTTTATCTTTAAAGTTAAATTTGAATCTATACCTATTATACGGTTAAAGATTTATAATCGAATTATTGTTTTAGTAACTAGTATTTAATAAATAATAACACACAACTAGTTTATAATTAATAATTAAATTTCTTTTTTGAACCAAAAGTTACCGTATATTATGATTGTTTATTTATTATTTCCGTGTTGAACCCAGAAATATAGGTTGATAAATCMTTTTTCAAGGATAATCATTAAGATGGAACCGGTAGGTGTATACTGTATCGTCTGTACCTATATTACTGTTGAAATCGTGTTTTTATTATTTTTTATATATAAATGCATTAGGTATTATAAGTTTTTTAATAGTACTAACTCATTATATCAATTGAAATAGTTAATATTTGTCTATGAAATTTGTACGGAACTATGTAGTGTTATAGTCTTAAAATATTTTGTTATACGATCTAACTTTTGATGTATTTATAGTTTTCGTTGACGTATAATTTTATATTATTGTATATAATATATATATATATACACATAACGCACTGTTGTCTGATATAATTTATTTGTTTAATACAATCCTTTGACCCACCTAATTTCTTCTAAATAGACGATCTGATCTTGGAGCGTTTTCAGTTCTTCATCTTTTTGTTGCATTACACTCACTTTTTCTTCTAGACTAGTGTTCTCCTWTAAAAATTAAAAATTAAAATTATGTAGGTAGTGTGTGTATGCAGCGCATCGAAATTACGATAATTACGCACATCATTTATTGCATTAAACCGCGTTTATCGTAGTCATAAACGATTATCGAACAATTTATTAGGTATTGTTATTGCCCAATCCCGATCACGACTCATAGTAAGTTTTTACCTGTATAAGTAAGGACACGTTTTGTTCTAGTTCAGACACTTTTCTCTGTTCCTTGACTCTAAGATTTTTTGCATGCTCCAATTGTGAAGCAAGTTTAGCATATTCATCTTGATCTTCGATCACAGCTCCTCCGCTGCCGCTGCCTTCGCTGGCCACGCTGTCGTCTCTCTTTAAATGACCCATGTCGTCGACCAGGTGCTGTAAATCTTCGCAACGACTTTCCAAACTTTCGATTGTATCGTATAAGCTAAATATATGATAATGTAATTATCGGTATAAGTAATACAATTGAGTCGAATATAACGATCGATTCCCCATAAGAAARTATAAAAACTACATTGTATTAACACCATGCAAATATACATTACCTTTTTATATGCTTTTTGTCGTTAATGTTTTCTTGGACGAGCCTCTGATTGTTTCTCTCTAGATCCTGAATACTGATTTCCAATTGCTCGTAAATGCGCAGCCTGGAATCGTTCACTTCTCTCAGAGCGGCCGTCTGTTTGGTAAGATACTGCCAACATATCAAAGAGTCGGTTACGACCAGTTCGTATAAATTCAAACCGATGGCTTGTTCGTTGGCCTTTTGAAAAACCGGCCATTCGGTCAGATTTTCAATTGAATTCATTTTAAACGTATAGACTATATATTATTATTATGTCAAGCAATCGATGCAACTATATTAAACCTCATGTAGGAACAACGGAAATCGTTTCGAACGCGCGCAAGGATCAAGACTGAAAAAATGCACTCATTGACTATACTGTGCCCGACCTCATGCCGAAAGGTCTCTGGCTGAGAGTCCGTTGCATCTTTGGAACATTGCCACAGCTATATTAAAATAATGCCTACGGCGGCGTCTTACAAACCAGATGAACACGATGACGATTATCGTCGTTGATGATGATTTCAAATATTAACCAGAAGGTCTGAGCTGTTATTTATTTTTTTTATATTTTTACCATCTCGTCGTTTTATTTGTACACCACGTCACCGCGTTACTATCTATTTACCTACGATTGCGCGCCAGCTGCAGAACAGCACAATTCAAAGTCACGTTTAATCAATTAGTAAATGTCAGTGGAAAAAAATCTAGTTCGAGCACCCACGTGTAGGCATTCATCGTGTTTATACGATTATTACAAAATATAGAGAGAACTGCAGCAGCAAATGATTGATTTATACGGCTCTTTTTCTAATGCTATACATATACACACCTAATATGCATCAAATACTTAAAAGTTAAATTCCTAAGTGCTGCAACAAAAAATTAATGTTAAACTGTATATAATTAACAGAAATGAAATATTATTGTTACATGTCATGAACTAAATGAGTGGCGTACAGGATGACGAGTCATTACAATTTATTTTTATTATCAAGTAACGAGTTACGCATATTGTATTATGGCCAGACGTGGTCACAATTTGAACTTCGAGACAAAATGCATTCCTTGCGTATACATGTGCAGTGAATACGAAATAACTCGTGAATTGTCTTTTTTTAGGTTACTGCAGTAAAGAACACGTGTTATGAAGTTTGACAATTTTTTCACACAGGTTAGGGTATTATAATAATATTACGGTTCAACATTTAAATCACATTATTATCTATTACCTCGATCTCTTGATTGCGATCTTCCACGACATTTTGCTGTTGCCTCAAGTTGTTTTCCAATTCTTTATTTCTCTCCAGCAGAGTTTTGCCTAGTTCAGCAGCTAGCTGTAAGTCTGCAACACGACGACGTAATCGATTATAAATAAGTTATGAAAGCAATCAATTTACACTCCTAGTATGTTACGTACAATAATAAATAGTAATACTTTTCATAAATAATTTTTAACGAACAATAACAACGATTTCATGATTGAATTCGAGATTTCCACTTAGAAATCGAATAATAATTATATTATCACGTCGTGTGTATCCACTATAACGCTTCTTTATTAACTTAAATGATTTGTCAAAGACCGAGATTTATTCTAATTATATCGATCGGTCGTGATCTTCGGGAGTAATCGTCTCGTCCGGTGTTCGTAATAGTGTAGTAAGTAATGTCTACATAAGAAGGTAGTTAAACATAAACATGGTATTTCGAAAGCGTCGTCGCAATTCCATAGAAGGAAGTTAGGAAGGKTCTTCGGCGAGACTTCGTGATCAAACGGAGAAAACTATTTTATTTTATTTTTTGATTTTCGTACCGATTTGKTTTTTTCATTGAAAGCTTATATCTACTAACTGGGTTAGCCTATCAGGTTAACCTCGATTGTAATACAACAACTGAACACACGAATTGGTTTTCGTTAAAGCTATATAATAAATTATAACGAACGATGTTGCGCACTCAGCTGGGTTGGTCTTGGCAGTAATTCGTATTGCATAAAACGTTACTTTATTTTTGTTTTGTGGCTTTTTGATAATCATCAAAACCAGACAAAAACGCGWATTATATATGCACACACGTAGCTAGGTATACACTTTCCACCAATTTATGACAAAAATATATTTTTATATTTTATAAAGGCACATAAAACGTACACTAMACAACTACATTCGCAATTAGTTCAGTTGAAAGTTAGAAAGACATATTATGGAGGTAGGCATTAAAGATGGAAATGAAATGATATTTAGGTACCCGCCTGCTTACTTACCTAATAAGTACCTGTATTGCTATATATTTATATATGTATTATAATATAAATGCATAGGTACACACTTCATAGTTGATATATTATTATTATATAGACTACTCCACCATATTATTATATCAATATTTGAGTTCAAATACTAGGTACTTAATTCTCAATTAATTATGATAAGACATATAATTTGGCTATTGAAATTAATGATTTGGAATACATTTAATAATTATTTAATCACTTATAATTTCACCTGGATTGCATGGTTTTAATTAAAACTAATTATTTAAATTCATAATAATACAAAATATTATATCATTAAACTTTCAATTAAAATTATACATTCCATACTATATACATATTTTATTGTAAGTATATATCAATAAATGATAGGTACCTAATACTTATTAATTTAATTTAAAATTAGATATAGTGACTGACGTGAATCGTACTTATTTCAAGACACTATTTGATTGAAATTTTCTACTAGGCACTTATCATTAAAAATTGATTATTTACTAAACAAATTAGAATCGACGTAACTTTCTAAATAAATTTTAATTTCTTATATCAGCTCAAACCAATGTAATTATAATTTACTACATAATATTGGAATGATTCCATGGACATTAAATTCATTAGAATTTCTTTTAGAYGGTATATTTAATTTTTTGAAGAGTATTATTTCTTATTTTAGTGAAGACAAGTTTTTGATTGATTCATAAGAAATTGATAACATATAATATATAATTAGGTGAGTTAGTGTACTGAACAGTTATTTAACATCCGACATTTTCTCTTTAAAATCATTCGTGAATTCATGATATTTGTGTGAGTAATAAACTAATAAGTAATGAGAAAACTGTATAATGTATGTTTTTTTTTTACCTTTTGTTTAAAAAGGTAATGTGTATGTTGTATAAATATTTTATAATACTGAGATTCAATATTTGTCAATTATGTTTATTGTTTAGTAGGTATAATATAGTGTTGTTTATACCTTGTGGACCRCGAAGACATTCCAACTCGATCGTATAATCCCAGCAGTCCAGAGACGCTAAATCTGGCGTAGACGTAACATTTTTATCCATATTCGTGAYTTTAATTCATATTTTTTCGRGAAAAAACCGTACAAGTATATTTATCTTCTTTATTTTGAATAGTGCATAGTCGTGAAATTATAAATTATAAATGCGTGGCCTGAGAAATGTATAGGTATATGATAATATATAAATGTACAGTATTAAGTATATTAAGCAAAAAATCTTAGGTTTTTATTTCCACGTCACGTTATGCATACTAATGAGCAAATAATATTGTTACACAACGAACAATAGACATCCAAAAGTCGTTCAAAGAATAACTAATAATAATTGTCATATCGACAGTATTGCATGARGYAGGCATCCAATATATACTGAGGTCGGTACAAATAATATATTGAAATGACTTTAATGAATTGTTTGATTTGTTTGACCTGTTATATTTGAACTATAATGAATGCTGAGTAAAAACACTAAAAACGTAAAATAATATATGAAAATTTAAGTCACGGACACTCGTTTTCAGCCATGAATACTACAATAATTAATGTGAGAATTTTTTTGAAAAATACACGATTTTGAACATTTATTTTTTTATTTTATTAAACTATATTCAATGCTCTCTTATTTATAAAAACAAAAAAAAAAAAATATTATGTAATTTTGAATCTTTACTCATCAGCTTACAGTTTTATTCACAACAATTATAAACAAACTATTTTTGTTTACATAATTATCCAACAATGTACAATTTTTAATTTCTGTAATCAATGTAACAGTTGCTCTATAAAATTTAACAGCATTTGTTTTAATCGTATGGAAGTAAAACGTAWACCATTTTAAGAACGTTAACATACATAATTTCGTAAGCATTTATAGACAAAGTCAACAATTCTCATAGTAAACAAAAATAATTTGTATTAAATTATTCATAAAGACATAAAATGCATTTTAATTGTTGTTTACTTTTGTTTTACAGTATTAGRCGGTGGTTATAACTATTGAAATATGTAGATTATCAACAGACTAACGTCTATACGGCAAATGTTTAAAAGAAAACAAAAAAATAACAGTCTTAATATATACGTAATAATATATGTGTATATTGTGCACAGAAAACTTGATGTAATAAAATATACCTACGGGGTACGTATAATTCACGTAAATGACATAATAACTGGTTTATGAATAAAAATGTGTGTTTTTTTTTTCAACTCATACTAATCATAATAAAAATTGATTATCTTGTACAGTTACACACAAAATATATGTTTAATTTTAATTTTATAATTTGATCGAGTTAATATTTAGTTTAATGCGAATTTTATAATTCATAATATACTTTTTTCCCCATAAATTATATTAATGTACAATTTATAACGTAGGAAATATATACATATACAGAGTGTCTCACGATGATC